TTTGGTCTAAATTTCGTTGGGTTCTTTTTGTGTATTCCATATAAATTTTAGGTATTATTTGTTCTAGTTCTGTGAAAAATGTCCTGGGTTAATTTGGTAGAGGTCACATTAAATCCATAGATTGCTTTGGGTACTATGTCCATTTTAACAGTATTAATTCTTCCAATCCAAGAGCATGAGATATCTTTCCATTTCTTTAAGTCACCTTTAATTTCTTTAATCAGTGTTTTGTAGTTCTCTGTGTGTAAGTCTTTCGCCTCTTTGGTCAGATTTATTCCTAAGTATTTTATTCTTTGGATGTGATTTTAAAAGGGATTCTTTCTTTTTCTGGTATGTCATTGTCAGTGTAAAGAAATGCAACTGATTTTTGCATGTTAATCTTGTATCCTGCTACCTTGCCGAATTCTTTTATCAGCTCTAGTAGTTTATTTGGTTTTAAGGATTAGACTAGAAAAGGAGTTTATTGGATTACACTGCCACAGACAACAGCAGGCCTCACAGATGAGAGGTGGCTGTGTGATCTGCCCGAGCAGTTTTCGTGCAGAGCCTTCAGGGTTTCCTGTGTATAGTGTCACGCCTTCGTCAGGTTATTTGCTTTTCCTCTCTTAGTGCGGGTCCTTCAAGCACATGATGCCACCGTCCCTTCCTGCTCACCCTCCTCATGTGATCTGCTGGATAGATTACAAGTTCTTATGCGATGTTCTTCCAGAAAAGATGCCTCCCTTCCTGACTAACCCTGATGGTTCCCTCTCATCATTCGATGTTCCTGGCTTATTACTGCATAGTTCCCCTGTTAACAGTTGTGTGTGTTCTCTGTTTTCCCCTAAGAGTTGCTGTTGGCTCTTTGTCCGTAAGCGCAGCTGTATGTCTGTAGGTGACGTGACGACATGAACAGTGTAACATCCCAGACTCTGGAGCCAGACCAGCCGGGCTTGAATCTCAGCTCTGCCACTGCCTGAGTGCTCTTGAGCAAGTAATTTGACTTCTCTGTGCCTCACATGTAACATAAAAATAATAATAATAACAACACTATGTACCTAGAGTTGTTGTGAAGATGAAATAAGTTACCACATGGGAGGAATGCAGAGCAGATCCTGGCGTATAGGAAGTGCCCAGTCAGTGTTAGTAGCTGTTTTTACAGTCACCTTCAGGTCACTGAGCATGTGTTGGCTGAGTAGCCCTTTTCTCTTCTTTAGGTTTGTTGATATTCAAGTCTGTCCTTCTCTTTTTCCTCCAAAACATTGTGGGTGTTTGGGTAGATAGTGTCCATTTTCTCAACAAGCAGTCTCTGCATATCAGTGACTTTCTCCAAGGAGCATTTTCTCCATTTTCACTCAGTATTTTGCTCGTCTGGGAGAAGTGGGTGACAGCTTTGTTTGCTGTTGAGAATTACTTTTCCCTAGTACCCGTTTATGATGTTATAATGACCATCTTCCACAGATTACCTCATAGATTCTCACTGAGAAGAAGCACACTCTGCTGGTGAGGTGTGACGTTCAGAATGTCTTTTCATTCTTTCTATCCTTATTCATATACTCATGTCTTCCATCCAAATACCTCTGTCTGTCCAGACCTGTATTATGCCACATGATACATTCCCTTGGGAAATCCTGGGAGCCCTGCCCACCCCCAACCCCACCCTTGCCCTCATCCCTAACTGGAGTGCAGTGAGGGGGTCGACCCATGTCCTGGAAAACGCTGGGAGCTGAACCAGACCCTGGAGTCTGCGGTGGGCTTTTCAGTGGGGTCTTGAGGTCTGTGATCTGGAATAGATTCTGGAATAGTCCAGAGAGAGCTCCAGTGGGTCTGGCTGAGAGGGAGATGAGCTCCGGGTTGATCTGCACTCTAACTACCTCGGCGCTGGACTCTAAGCTGAGTTCCAGCTAACAGGACCCTGGGCCTCTGAGGCCCAACCCGGACTTTTGCTTCCTCCCCAGCCGTGTCCATTTCCGAAAGGAAAGGCCAGCCAGTGGGCACGCGGGAGGAAACACTGAACCATTTATTGCAAAGCTAGATTGACAGCTCAGGAAGCCGGGAAACAGGGCAGAGGAATCAGGGAACGAAGAAGGGAAGGGCTGAGGGAAACGAGCTGAGGTACATAAACAACCACCTCTTCCAACCGTTCTTCTGCTCCTGGGACCTTCCGCATCAAGAAAAGCTCTTCTGTTGTGCTCTTTCTGCCTCCCTCTGGGCCGTGCTGGCCACACATTCCCCAGGCTGAGGTCTCTTAAGAGCATAAAGGAATTTGAAGGCCTTAGCACATCTGAGAAGCCAGGCCCAAGTCAGGGGAAGCCCAGCGGTCGCTCCTCAGGGGCTCTGGCCAGGCAAGGAACGCAGAGCTGTCTTGTCTGCAGTCCAGGACGGGTCCACCGAGGGCACCGAGGGCCCCGAGGGCAGCAGGAATCCCTCCATCTCAGCCTCACCGTCCCTTCAGGATTAGGCGAGTTTTCCCATCTCCAATGAGGAACCTACAAAAAAGATACCCCATGGAGAGACCCAGCCCTTCATCAGATGTTTCCGTCCAGAATTCTCCAGAGAGATGCCTTCCTGAGCCTTCCCAGCCTCGGTAGCCAGATCTCCTTGGGGAGAGGGAGAGACTTTCCTGCTGGGTTTCCCGCCCTTCTCCTGGAGATGCCCATCTCTGCCACCCTGAAAGCATCTGAGAATTACTCGTGATGCTTTGCACTAAGCCACGGGCTGTCAGAAATGCAGACGCACAATTGTGCAAGCAGTCTGGATCAGCCCAGCCCAGTGGCTCTCCCAGACAGCGGCGGCTGTACCGACTTGTATCCCTGCATGACCTGGAGCAGAGGGGACAGGACCCTGTGGATCCTTGAGGCTCACAAGAGGAGAGCTGGAGGAGAAGCAGTCAGGCAGATGTTCTCCTTCTGATAACAGTATCAGTATCGTTGTCCCTGGCACAGCTCCAGGGAGCACTGCTCACCTTGTGTTTCATGTGAGTGGCGGCTCCTGACATGCATGCTCTGGGGGCACCACTTACCTGGTTTTCTGTGTGGCTAAGGTCCCCTGAGTTGTACACACCCCTGTGGGGAGCTGTTCCTCCCTACTTTCAGTCCATACAGTTGTTCAGGTGAGGCTGATCCCACCCCAGCTCCAGGATTAGGCTCATGCTCCAGACACAGCCAGTAAGAGCACCTGGTCCCAAGGCTACAGGGATTGATTCAGAGGTAGACATGACCCATGCTGGGCCAGTCCAAACCGGTGAAGAGCAGACTCAGGACTTTCGCTAGAACAACTGTTCTGTTTCCTCTGCAGTTGTTAAGCTGCAAGGGTACAAGCCTGGAGTGCCTGGTGGGCAGCTTTGCCTCTCTTGGAGAACCTGTCTACGCATGAAGCCCACATAGAGGACAGCAGAGCCCATGAGAAGGACCAAGCCCTAAAACACTGAGCGCCCACCTGCAGCCAGTGCCACCTGTGAACTTTACAATTATGTGAGCCAGTGAGTTCGCCTTTATGATGAAAGCTGTGTTCAGATGGATTTCTGCCACTTGTAACCAAAGGTCCCAAAGCCATAATCTTTGCCTCTGAAGGAGGCTCCCTCCTCTCTTCTCCAAACCCAAGTGAGACTCGCCCTCTTAGCCCCAGACACTCTGGGAACTCTTGCCATGTCCATCAGATGGGTCATGACCCCGTGTCACCTTCCTACCTGATGAGCGCTCCTACGAGTAAGCCGGCCAGGAGCGGGCCCAGCCAGTAGATCCAGTGGAAGTCCCAGTGGTTGGCCACCACAGCAGGTCCAAAGGCACGGGCAGGGTTCATGCAGGCTCCAGACACAGCACCCCTGCAAACACCCAGCCACACTGGTCCCCAGAATCCCAGCCAGGGAGCCCCAACTCACCCACGTTCATTATGCCAACTAGGCCTGGGTGCACACTCCAGACCCCTTTCTAAGCTACCATGTCATGGCCCTGGGAGGTTCCAAAGAAGACTATTAGGTAAAGAGGCTTTTAACACGAGGAAGTGGAAGGCCTGACTCCTCCCTGGGCATACAGTCTGCCACTCCCCCCAACACCCTTCTGGAAGGATGGCCAGCGAGGAGTGCCTGTTCCGTGATGATAGGACAAGAAGATGGATCTGGACCCTCTCCAGAGTTGATAAGGCAAAGTCAAGCAGTTGTCCACTTTTTGGTCAAATGGACCTAGATTGAAAACCTAGCCCAGCTCTTTCTAGCTGTGCGTTTTCTTTAAGCTCACCGGGTTTCAGCTGAGGTGAAAGTGTGTATCTCATAGGTGATTAGGAGTGAATGCGAAAATGTCTACAGATCCCATGTTTCGCATATAACTCACGTGCAAGTGTTTAACTGACCCGGTTGAAGACTTTGTTGCGCCAGAAGCTTGGGGTCCAGTATCTCCCCTAGAGGGACTGTACCCCAGGTGAGCCTCTGTAGTCCTGGTGTCTGTACCCTTGCCCTATTCACTCACCCCTCACTGGACCGTCATGGCCACTACCGGGATGCCGAAAGGACTAGTCAACAGGCTTGTAAGTGAAGCAAAAGCCACTAGGGGGCAGCAAAGCACCGCCACAGCTTTGCACACGCATTTCCCCAGCCCTCTCGAGGCTCTACCTCCCAAAGGATGACACAGAGGCCTGGAGGGCAGAGCCCAGAAAGGCTACACTTGGTTCTGTGTCCAAGACAAAGGAAGGAATTGGACTTTAGGGAGAGTCTCCTTGATCCCCTTTTAACAGTGGCTCTTGCCCAAGATCTGCCACTTAATTTGTCACTGCCCAGTGACCTTAAATAAGTGACTTGTGTCCTCTCTGAGCCTCCATTTCCTCATATCTACACGGGGAGAAATAATCCCTGACCCAGCCTGATCTCCTTAATTCCGTCCCAAGTGTGCTAAGAGGCTCGAGGTAAACAAGACAATGGGTGTGGAAGCTCTTTGTAAGTCTGAGGCTCTACCTGGCTGCCTGTTGGCTGGATAAACACAGCCTGCAGAAATGTTCTATTGATATTACAAAACAGAAAATTCACATAAAAGTCCAGTCTTCTGCCTTCCCTGGAATGAAACTAGAAGGGTCACCCCAAGCCCATGTTCCCACACAGCAATAACTTATCAGAGGGGCATGGCGGTGGCCTCCTTGGATGCCACAGTCCCCGTCACTCCCTGTTGCCTGCCTAGTGCCAGCCCATGTCCCTCACCGGCATTACCTTCACAGCTTCTGTTGGCAGCTGAGTCCATGACCCTCACGTAAGCGCTACAGGCCGGCCCACCTCCAGAGCCAAGCCTCGGCTGCAGGCTGAGCACTGAAGTCCCAAGGCCGAGCGGCACTCACCCTGCCAGGATGTCCACGGTGACAGAGAAGCCGATGGAGAACGGGGCCAGAGGACCCTGTGTCTTCTCATTGATGGCGCCCATGCACACGGCCAGGGCCAGCAGTGTCGTCAGGATGATCTCCGCCACCACTGCCCCCGCCACCTGCCCCTGCTCCTGGACTGTCACAAAGGCCGCCCCAGACGCATTCCAGAACCTCTCCTCGGGGCTCACAGCCTATGGAGAGAAGTCAGTCACTCAGCCTCATGGAGGAGGGTAGAGACAGCTGAGGGTCCTGCCAGTGTGCAGGCAGACACATCTGGATCCACCCCCCAGCTCCAACATTCCTACTGTGGGGCTCTGCATGAGCTATTGGACTTCTCTGAGCCTCACTGTGTTCACCTATACAATGGGGATAACCCAGCGGTGGTTCCAGGTGCAGTGGGCCTGAAGTATATGGAACTGTGATGACCCTCTTTGAGAAAGAATACAAAAATATCTTCCTTTTACCAACTTCGTAAACACGTATAACCAGGTGACTACGTTGCCAGCCCTCTGAAAGACCCCTTCTAAGGAGGAGAGCCCTGAAGCTTAAACCCCACTGTCTTCCCAGGAAATGGGCCTCGGGGTCATCACAGCACCGGCGGAGGGAAGACAGCACAGCAGACAAGCTTCTGGACCCAGGACCCAAATCCGGGGCTCTGCTGCTCCCCAGCCCAGCTGAAGTTGGGCAAGTCACTGCCTTCTCTGGGTGTCTGCTTCCTCCTCTGTAAAGTGGGCTGATAATAATAGTAGCTCCCAGCCCAGGCAGTGGGTGTTCTCCAGGGACTGACCCTGGCTTCTGGGGAGGTGGTGGGCGATGAGCGGAGAGGACTTATGTCAAGTGCTTGGCAGGGAGGGCGCATCCGTGAACGGCAGCCACTGCCCTGCCCTGGTCTCCACCATGTCTGACAAGTTTGCAAGGGGCCCAGCCTGGGGGGAGTCTGGACACTGCTTTACATTGAGAATCAGAACAGGAAGGTCTGGATCCCCTTCTAAACAGACAGGGGAATGGAGTCTCAAATGGGGGCACAGGGAGACCTGGGCAGGAAAGACAGCAAAACGGGGTTTGGGGCCAAAGTCTGCAATGGGCAGCGCTTAGAGCCACAGGCCAAACCCCAGCCAGGCTAACGGGGTGCCCCCTCCACCTCCTTCACCTCCCCACCCCCCAACCTCGACCTTGGCACGCGCCAAGCAAGGTTGAGGCTTAAGAACAGCAGGAAAGGAAGAGAGAGAGAGAAGGGAAGAAAGAAAAAAGGAAGCCAGGCAGGCAGAGAGGAGAAAGCAGTCCAGCCACGGAGTGACGTGTAAAGCTACAGAAGTTTGGGCTGAAAGAGCGAGCCTTCCTGTCGGAACAGGAGGAGTCCAGTAATTGAATATTTACTCCCATCAAAGGTGGAGTAACTCAGTTTAAAGGCAGGCAAACTGGAGAACACAGAGAGAAATCCATTCAGGGGTTTCTCAAGAATAACCACACGCAACCTGTACCCTCAGTCCGTGCTTAGTGAGATGTTTGTTGAATTAATGAATTTTTAAAAAATAAAATTATCGAAGCCAGAAATGGCCTTAGGAACAGAAAACTCAAGTTCTGAATTCTGCTTCCTGGTTTGTCCAGGGAAGGGCTGTGTCCAGACATGGACAGAACAGAGTGGGTTTGGAGGAAACAAAGGGCCCTTTGACTGTCCCCTCCCCGGTATGAGGGCCCACCCAGTCCCACTGGAGGCAACAGGAAAAGAATCGGACAGTCCCCACCCCCCACGCACCCCAGCAGCCCCGTCAGAGCCAGCCCCCCAGCCCAGTCCCCTTGGGGGTCACCCACCTTGGCCAAGGCAGCCCCGATCAGTCCCCCGCACAGCTGGGAGATCCAGTAGGGAAGGAGCATCACCAGGTTGAGGCCTCCGACCAGCATGGCTGCCAGGGACACCGCAGGGTTGAAGTGTCCACCACTGTCACCCACAAAAGCAGAAGGGGTCGTGAGGCCAAGGCCCAGGCTGTCCCCAAGGGAATGGGTCCCAATAGCTGCCCCACCCCTTGGTTGGCTTTGCAGGGCCAGAGTCAATCAAGCGCCAGCCCAAGTAGGAAACAGGCACCGAAATCACATTCTTTTCCCCTGAGGTGCCGGGGGGGGGGGGTGACGGATATGGGGGAGAGCCTGGGAGAGGAGGGCAGCCGGGTTCCTGGCCCACGCCCAGATCCCGGGATGGCCCAGAGGAAGAGTGCGGTGAGAAATCATCTCTCAACTCCTTCCAGACTCCCTCAGAGCTCCCTCCAGCCCTTCAGAGCTGTGGCCACAGGTCAGAATGAGATCCCAGGCTCCAAATTCATAGCCCAAGAGAGGTATCCTGGCCTCCCCTTAGAAGTAACCAGGCCCCGAACAACAGCTCCTGATTGGTTAACCACTCAGCCAATAAAATTTCTACTTTTGGTCTGAAACTGTGATTAGCACTAAGTGTAAAATTGAGATTAGAGGTTCGTGGAAATGGCATTGGGAATCAGAAATGAGTTTGGAGGGTCATGATTAAGTTCGGTATTGGGATCTGAAGTTTGGGATGTGAAGTGGGGTTAGACAAAGTTGAACCTAGGGTCAAAAACAGGTTCAAGTTGACTAGCCCCTCCAATAGTTGTGGGCAAAGAGCCTTCCTTTTCACCAAGATGTCCAACCAGCCCAAGTCCCAGAACCAAGAGGCCCCCTCCAAGGCCCTGCTACCCACTCAGATGGAGGAGCTATCTTGAGAGGTTGGCCCACCAAATCCCTCTTGTGCATGGAATGGACACCCCCAATAAAAAGGACAGTGACCCCAAGCCCAGGGAATCACCCTAGATGGTTAGAACCCACCAATGGGCCTGCCCACCCCCAGTGGACACAGGGCATTGAGCTGAGACCAGACAGAGGACCTGGGCTCTGGACACAAGAACTTTGTCCCACTTGCTGGTATCTCGGGACCCGCTGCCCCGGCTTGTCTGGCCCAGCTATATGCACAGGCCCCCGGGTGAGCTTCCTGCAAGACTGGGAAGTGTCAGCTGATCTCAGACTCAGTAGGTGGGAGGAGGGGCAGCCAGGCCCTCTTGGCCTCAATTCAGGCCCATGACCAAGCATAGTCTGGGCCCTGCTGAAACGTAGAAATGAAGGTGGGGGTGGGCGGCAGCCTCGCATGGGAGACTGCAGAGTTAGAACCCTCTCTGGCCATCAGCCTCTCCACCATCTCACCGAGCCCAAACGGGGAGAGAGAAACAGTTACTCAGAGCATGGCTCAACCAGGAGAGGGCTGGAACACCACCCAGGTCCCAGAAACCGACTGCACATTCATCAACAATAAAACCACCAAGACAGTTTCTTAGTTTGCTCAACAAATATTTATTGAACACCTACTATGTGCTAGGTGCTGTGCTGGGTGCTTCCATAACCTCAAAGTCAGAGCCCAGCACACAGGAGGTACTGAATAAATATTTGTTGACGAAACAAATGGTTGGAAAAAAAGGCTGGTATTTCAGTAGGCAGTTTACTACAGTGCATAACAGGTGTTTTCGCTGGCCAGCTGGCCTGGGTAAACCCTAGATCTGCCACGAAAAAGCTGTGTGACTGTGGGCAAATTATATAACCTCTCTGAGCCTCAATGATCGCTACCCCATCAAGGCTGTTAGAAAGATAATTAATAGATATTCATATAGAGTATGATATACATAGTTAATACCAGCATATCGTTAGTATTCAATAAATGTCAGCTATCCCCATTTATACCACTGCACAGAGAGGTTCAGTTTTTTGCCCTGGTCACCCAGCTAAGACGTGATAAAGGTCGCCTCCAACCCCAGACCCTCCAGAACAGAACACCATGTGTTTTTCATTCTACCTGCAGCTTCCCTTGGATGTTTAAAGAGAAATGTTAGAGTCCCCTTTCCCTTTCTGTTCTCCTGGGAAACAATGTTTTAATTTCCTTACTCAGATCTGTTTCCTGTGCAAGGTTAAATACAGACCAACCACGTTCTAGGTCACCTTGCCAGGAGCTCCCTCCAAGACATTCATCATGGCAGCTGGTCCTCCTGGGAGCCCACGCCCTCCCCGTCGAGCTCCTGTCCAGGTGAAGTCTGAGCCAGAGGAGGCCCTAGGGCCTCCCTGCCCCTGGGCGGGTTCTCCGGCTGCCTCCGAAGCTGGAGCAAACCCCGTCCTGATGGCAACAATAATACACCAGCCAACAGTGATTGAGTGCTTACGTAGATTAAGCTCTTTAAATCATTTCTTCCTGTGCCTCCCCCGTGAGGCACCGGGTTTGGGCCAGACACCTTGGGTTTCCCTCCTGGCTCGGCCATGGAAACTTGGACGCATGTCCTGACCTTTCTCCTTTCAAAGCTGGAAAATGGGGCTAATCACGGTACCTACCCCACAGGGTTGTTGGGAGGATTAAATGAGTTGCTATCTTGTAAAGGGCTTAGAGTATTGTATTGCCTGACGTATGGTCAGCAGCATACCTGTGTTGGCTTGAGAAATAAGATTTAGACAATATCGTGCTGTTCCCATTTCACAGGTGGGGAAGGTTGGGTTTGGAGAGTGACCTGCCCAAAGCCACAGAGCTCAAAGACTGAGGAGCCAGGACTCGAACCCAAGCCTACTTTCTTATCCATACTACTCTTGGGATCCTGGGCAGGGGCCCAGGGGTCCCTACCGACAGCTCTGCTCCCCACCCCCGGTGAGCACCCCAGGTGAGCACCAGGCTGAGTGCTCGGAGCTGCTCTCACCTGATACTCCCCAGGGTGGCGATGACCAGGCCCAGGGCCAGCCCGTGGGCCAGCGCCGGCTGCAGCAGCCCAGTGTCCGTCCCATTCTCGATAACTGACAAGCATCCGATGAAGATGAAGAGGGCAGAGCCCAGCAGTTCGACCAGGCAGGGCTGCACGAACCGCTCGTACCAGGACCCGCGCCACCTGCCCCCATTGTTGGGGTCCTTCACCTTGACACCACCAAACTCCACGTCACACATGGATGCAGCTGCCTGTAGTCAGGAAAAGGGAGAGGGACACGGGTGGGAGGAAAGCCCGGAAAGAAGCCCCCAGGGCCTCGATCTTGAATTAATTCTCAGCGACCCCTGGACGGGCCAGGCTGCAGAGGAAGAGGTCAGCAGAGCACTCACCTCTGCAGACATCAGGGCGGAGGTGACTCCGGACAGGGCGCTCGCCTGCGCTGGCTGGGAAAGCTCCACCTGCTCTCCCGGACGGGACACTCTTATCTCCAGGACTGAGGCCGCCAGCCCACTCCAGGCTCTGCCCCTTTTAAAGGGCAACAGAGGCTCCTGAGGGTGTCAAGAAAGCAATAAAACCCAGTGGGAGGTGGCCCAGGGCTAGAAAAGGAAGCATTTTTTTAAACCTCAACTGGGCAGGGCAAGGGGTGGTCAAGAATTACTGAGCTTTCTGCCAACAAAGGGAAAAGGCGTTGGCTTAGCTGCGTCACCCGGGGAGGGCACCAGGTCTCCCCTCAGGAGATGGAGGGCCAAGCTCCCCAGCTCCCATGGTCACCATCAGTGTCCAGAGGAGACCCACAGGTATAGGAGAACACGAGGAGGACCCCACCAGACTGGGCCCACACACAGGAAGTGACAGTAATCCCACGATTGTTCCACGGATTTCCACAGACATCTCCTGGAATCTGGGGCCCCGACGCCTCCACTCACTCACCCTGATCGGCTGATCCAGGACTGAGCGTGTAGACGGATGACCGTCTCCTGAGGTAGCAGAGGCAAGAGGAGAGTCTGCGGACTCTGGAAACAAGCTGCCTGGACTTCAGTCCCAGCTCCTCTGTGAGCTGGCTAAGTAACCTTGAGCATGTAACACCCTCTGAGCATCTCTGTTTTCTCCACTGTGAAGCATGGCTGAGAGTGTAGTACCAATGACACAGGGTTGTTGTGTAATTTAAATGAGTTAATATGACAAAGTGTTAAAAACCTTATGGTAACTGCAAACCAAAAATCTTTAATAGATGTACACACAAAAAAGAAAAAGAAATCCAAATATAACACTCAAGAGAGTCACCAAATCACAAGAGAGCAAAAGAAGGAAAAAAAATTAACAAAATGGCAATAAGAACATATATATTGATAATTACCTTAAACATAAACAGACTAAATGCTCCAACCAATATAACAAAGTGTTTATGACAGTGCCAGACACATGACAACTGCCATACCAGTGCCTGCTGATTTAGAACACTGATTTATACGAACTAATATTTATTAAGCACTTTCTACATGCCAGGTACTGGGCTAAGGACCTTATACGTATTATCTCACTTAAACCTCGCAACAACCCTATGAGGTAGGTACTATTATTCCAGCTGTTTTACAGATGAGGAAGTGGAGAGTTGGGAAAGTTAAGTTTCCCAGGATCACACAGCTTTTGTGGTTGCAAAACTTGTGGGCCAGTTCACAAAGGGACAAATACTGTATGATTCCACTTATAGGAAGTACCCAGAATAATCAAATTCACAGAGACAGAGAATAGCATGGTGGCTGCCAGGGCCCGGGAGGAGGAGAGAATGGGGAGTTATTGCTTAATGGGTAGAGAGTCTCAGTTGAGGAAGACGAGAAAGTTCTAGAGATGGATGGTGGTGATGGTTGCACAACAATATGAATGTACTTAATTCCACTGAACTATATACTTAAAAATGGTCAAAATGGTAAAGTCTGTGTTGTGCATGTTTTAGCACAGTTGAAAAAATGGTGGGTTAAGCCACTACATTCTACTGCCTTTCTAAGATGATGGATGGATGGGTGGATGGATGGATGATGGAAGAAGAGAGAGTTGGAAAAATGGCCAGGTGGATGGAAGGAAGTAAGGGAGGAAGAGAGACAGGTAGCTTTCCTTGTTCATTCACTCAACGAATATTTAAATACCTACTGTGAACCTGTGCTAGCAGGATATGTAGCAGTGAAAAAGACAGACAAGATGCAGTCAGTGATCATAGCTATTATCTGAGTGTTTATATGTATAGACAGAGAAATGATGTCAGGATAAGAGGCTTTTAAGGAAAATTTCCACCATTTATTGACAACGCGCTACAGATCTAACGCTGTGCTAAGCAACTCTGCATATATTCACAACCATCATCTAAGCCCTGTGACTTCTTATCTACATCTTCAGATGATTAAAAACAAGGCACAGAGAAGTTGAAGAACCTGTCCAAGGTCGTCCAGATTAAGAGTATCTGTCTGAGGACAGAAGCTGATGCATCTGGACAAGGGTTTGACAGTTGGCCGATGGCTCTTTTCAGCGAGACGCCTGGAGAACTCAGCACTTTTATTGAGCATCTGCACATCTTGGAAGGTTTCAGGGCTATGTTCTTGCTGGTTATCTTGAGACCTATTCTCTCCCTCCCCTGCACCCACAGCACATCGTACAAGATGTTTCTTACACCCTTCCTCCTGTGTCCCTGCAAATGGCAACACAAGATAGTTGTCCAACCCTCAACTTCCCGTCTCCCTCATTCTTTGCCCAAATCCTGCCAAGTGCTGCTTCCAGAATATTTCTCTCCTATTTTCACCCAGGCCTTCATTGGTTCTTGCTTAGCCTCTTGAAAAAAAAAATCAAACATTCATTATACACCTGCCAAGTGTAGATGCTGCACTGGACACCTCACATGCACTCCCTCAATGATTCATATTTGCAATAATTTATTATTTCCCCCACGTCACAAGCAGGAACTCCCAGCTGGTATTTCTACTACAACTCCTTTTCTGGTCTTCTTGCCTCACCCAATTTTCACCCATTTCTTTAAAACTGGCAACCGGCAAGGCATAGTTTGGACTTAGGTCCAGGTTGAGGGTCATGTCCCTCCATCTTTGCCTGCTAGCTTCTCCCTCAGCTTCAGTTCCCTTGTCTATAAAAGTTGACTAATGGTGGGACCCATCCCCAAAGGGTTGTGGTGTGGATTAAATGCGATGATGCTCTTAGGACAGTGCCCAATTCAGAGCAGGTGCCATAAACAGTAGCTCTTATGATGGTTTGCATTAGCCAATGAGGGCTAACCCATGTAACAAATTAACTCCAACAGTTGAATGGCTTAACATAGGAGAAACTGATCCATTTTTCACAGAATAGTCCATAGCAAGCTCTTCACCACATGGTGACTCCAGGCTACTTCCATCTTGGAGCTCCACCATCTAGGTCCTCAGATCCTCCCCACTAACCAGCAAAGGGGGAAAGAGAATATGGAGGATTGTGCAGGGGTGGGGTTGTGGGCTAGTCCTAGAAATGGCAAATACACTTCCATCCGTATTTGATTGGCTAGAACACAGTTGCATGGCTTCCCCTGGCCGCTGGGAAATGGTGCTCCCAGTAGGAAAAAAAAAGGTATTTTAAAATATCTCTGCGTCTGTAGGCACCTGCCTGCCCTCTACCACCAGGTCCGAACAGGTCCAGACACAGTATAAAAGCAAGTTGCATTGTATCCTGGCTTTCCCCTCCTTTCTTATATTGATGGCTGCACTGCTGTGGGGAAAAAACGTGATGCCGGCACTGCAGCAGCTATCTTGAGACTATGAGGTACAACCTGCCAGAAGTGTGGATCCGTGATGACATCACTAAGTCACCAGACTAGCTGCAAGACCAACTACCCCAGATTTATTGTAAAAAAACCCTGCATGTCCCAGAGAGCACCCCCAGTGAGCCACAAGGAACTCAAAAAGGGGCTGTGGGATATTTTACATTTTTAAGGGAACTAGAATGATCCTCAATATCTGTCAGACACTGTGTGAATTACTAGCTCCAGGTAGTTCACAGTTTTCTATTAAATGGCCCTACATTTCTTTCAGTTACATCATATCTTTGCAAAGCTGGTTTGGTTTTATGGGGGTTGCCATAATAAAAAGAAAACAAAAAACAAGAACCGCGTGAAAATCAGTGTTGAAGAGGAAGTGAGGGTGGCAATGTCTAATCTGATTCCAAGATCTGAGAAACTGTGCGGTGCTCCAGAGGCATAGACGTCCCATGGTAAGTAACTGTATTATTTAAGAGCAAAAGTTATTTAAGAACTCAATTAAATTGAGTTATTTAATTATAGTTATAGAAGAATTAAATAAAATAGAAATAAAATGTTTCCTTTCAATATATGTGTATTTTTTAAGTGGCTACTAAATAGTTAGGACATAAATACTTGCTAAGTTTTTTGGACTGAACTAATAAATAGAACTAGGAGGTATTCCTTTTGGCCAAGAACACTGTGAACCAAGAAAGTTCGGGAGTCTCTGAAATAAACAATACATGTCCTTCTCTTTCAGGCACCGGGAGTTGCATTTTCTAGCTGATAAGTTCCCTCCCAATATTCCAAAGATACTGGGCTTTCGGTTGAATAATTTCTTCTTGCAACAGGCCCCTCTTTGTAGTAATGGAGATGCTTGATAATTTAGGCTGATGCTGAGATCTGTGCTCTGTGGACCATCACAGAAACTTAAAGCAGAACCTCCCACTGGCTTCTGAAACCGTGGCTTTATATCTATCTATAAAGCTCTGCAGTTGTTTTCAGCGTATGATTGCTCACTTGGAACTCAGGGCAAGTTGGTTGCGAGAAACGAGTCTAGTTTTCACCTTTCTCACTCCTCAGATCGTGGGCTTAGTTTCAACCTGAGCACCTTCCTCCCTTGTAGAAGCCACCGGGACCCAGTTTTCTCCCCTGCAGGGTCAAGTTCAAATGCTGATGTCTTTGGAGTCAGTGGTAAACAGACATCAGACACGCTGGCTATCTCAGAACACGTTACAGCCAGAAAGTCATTGGCCTGGAGAAGCCGTCCACGGAGTCTCATCACTAAGGATTCATCTGCTCACCATCTGAGTGGTTTGAACCATTAAAATGGTAGTAATAATCTCTACCATTTACTGAAAAGCTTGGCACACAAGCATATTTCATATGAGTATTCAGAATGTTCTTGTTTTTTTTGTTTTTTTTTTGCTTTTATCATTTTCTCTATTATTTGGGTATTAATAACTATTAAAATTAAACAACTCTACAGAAGAGGAAATCCAAATGGTTAACAAACATGAAAAGATAAGAGCCAGAAAAAAATTCAAAGGAAAAGCAACAGAATAGAAAAATTTTTAAAGTGATTAACATCCAACTACTGACAAAGATGGTGAAATAGGCAAATCCATGCATTGCTGGGGGAAGTGTGAATTGCTACAAAATTTTGTAACAGTTTTACAATATTTATTAAATCTTTAAATTCACCTAATTCTAGCCCCAGTGAGCCTTGTGCTTGAAAATTGATCCTATAGAAATAAAAACTCTGATTG